AAAACGAGTAAAGGTCCAAACGTCTGGCCAAAAACGAGTAAAGGTCCAAACGTTTTTCTGAAAACGAGTAACGGTCCAAACTGAATTAGAGGCTCAGCCTCTGGGCCTGATTCCGGCCCTGGTCCTAGCTGTGTACCTGGCCACAAAGCGGACAACAGCACATTAGTAAAAACACATCAGTAAATAAATAAATAAGAAATCAACTTAAAGTTGAAGTCTTTCCGATGCAGGCCTAAGTGAAATGGCCGTAGGGCCTCGAGGTTGCGGTGACGCGACCTGGGGGCCCTTATCCAACCTCGGGTCCCGTGAGGGGCCCGTGTGGAGGCTCTCAGCATGTAACAATATGGCTGTTTCGTGTCGTTGTGCAGGCTGTGGCGGAAGAGCTGGGAAAAAAGAAATCCAGTGGGGCAGAGCCGAGTGAATGCCGGGCGGGTAGTGTCTTCGACTTCAATGACTGTGAGGGGGTAGAAGGAGAAAGTGGTAAAAGCAACGAGGATCAGGAGCTTGGAAGCAAGGAGAAGAGGGCCATCAGGAAAGACGTTGACATATTGTTACGGTGCATGAGAGTCATGGAGAATGTCACCTTCTGCAGTGAGTCGAATCAGGTTGGTAGAGGCAGCTGGCGGGGTGAGAAGGGGGGAGGGGGGAGAGTATGCCATTGGGGGATCAGAGGGAAGGAGATGGAACTCCACTATAAAAAAAAGGAAAGCAACGGGAGTTAAAGATGGAACTTCACTGCAGCTGGAATGTAATGGGACTCGTTATTTCGACTCCCAAGGGGCAGTATGCCCGGCCGGGCACCCGGGCGTGATGCCCGGGGCGTGCAAAAAAAAAAAAAAAAAGATGTTTTTTTTTCCAGGTTTTCTGCGCTCCCCCAGAGAACCCAAATCAAATCTGGGCTCATTTCGTTGTTTGTGACTTGGCTGTGAAGTGGGGGGAAGGGGGGTATAAATTGGTTTTAAACGGGCTAAAGCCTGAAGCGGTTTAAAGGGGGGTTGCCTTAGTGTGATTTTGTTATTTTCTTTTTCATCTTTGATTCTGTGAGGAATTCTAATGTGACCATGTGACCCTCAGCCAAAAGTCGTTTGTATTGCAAAACATGTCTTTTCCCGGATTTTTTTTTCTTTTTTTTGCGCTGGGCCTGCCTGGAACCCTGCCTGGGGGTCATGCCCGGGCGTGTACCCGGCCATAAGTTGGGTGCCCGGGCGCCTCGAAAAACAACCTAGGTTGTGAAGCACCTGCAATTTGACTTGTTCGACTTTCTTACTTGTGGATACTTGGTTATGCTGCAAGAAGAACTATAAGAGGCTTGTATGCTACTATGCGTTTTTTTTTTTTTTTTTTTTTTTTTTTTCCCGGCGCTCAAGTTAATGACTTTCCTTTCTGAAAAATCACATCAAGTGAACCCCTGTCAATATGATTGTTTACGTGTTGAGGATTGTGGAATATTTGTTCAAACTTCAAATGACAAGTATTCACCTAGCCAGAGTATCTGCTTGGTGTCTGAATGATAAACAGATCAAGACTTCAAATCCTGTCTGTGTCAGACCCAACTAGGCAGATGCTAAATATCATCTTGAGAGGGGTCGGGGGAAAAAGGGGGTGTTATGAATGAGCGTTTCTGATGGAGAGTTGGCCCTCTGAGACAGACTATTGTAGCTGGTATAGCTAAGGACAAAACTGTCCCAGCTGTGTTGTTAGTACGCACATGCACTAACGGATATTCCCCGCGATACATGTTCATCCCTCTCAACACAGAAGCATCTAATCGAGTTGAAGCTACCAGATCCCGGCGGTCCGGACTCCCGGACATTCATAGAAGTTGTCCTTGACAGTGTACAAATGTTGACAGGTAAGAAATAAGCAACAATAATGAAATGGCACTCTGCCAGTCTGCTTGTTGACACTGATTGTCGTCGTGTTTCGCAAATTGCTGTGTCTGAAGATTTGGGACCCATACTCGGTGGGGAAGGAGACTGTGAATAAGCGGCTGCAATTTGTTATACGATCCTGGACTTGTTTATGGGCATTGTGGTGATGTGGAAGAGCTTTCAGACACCCCCATGTTGTATCTGCTAGAGGAAATGGAATTGTGCTCGATTTACCGATAAACCAAAATGGTGTTTATTTGTCATGTCGATCTTGGATGAAGGGTATATAGACGATGTACTTTGTTCTTAAATAGGGGGGGGGGGGAATTCAAAAAAAAGATTCTTAATATTCTTATCAGGGTCAGTATCCCAGTATGGTGTGGCTTCTTGGATGCTTTAAGACGTCAATCACCGAGTAGCATCTGCCCCCAGAGACTCCCAAGAGGATTACAGTGTCGAGCCCCTTCGTTCATCCGTCGATGAGCTGCAGAGTATCCCTCACATTTATCTGGTGGATGACCTCCAAAGTAGCTGTAGCTCTAGAGACGAGAGTAGACGTCGATGTGCCATAGCCCTAGCTTCCAGCATACCCAAGAGGAACTATCTCAATCTAGGTGAGTAGAGATGCCTCCTTGAGATGGCACGGTATTGTGATGTGCTACTGAGGAAGATGGACTGCTGGCCTTTTTCACGGGGGACGTCCATGGCCAAGTGCTCCGCTCCATTGACAATGCTGGTCTTACCCGGGCTGCCTCTACGCCTACCCGCCAACACCATTGCTGGTTGTAAGCACCCTCATGCCCTCTGAACCTGGATCTAAACCTATGTGGATCCACCTAGTACCATCATTACACCTTCAGCTAGCCTAGTAGACCTTGGGCCTTTTGTGACTTCCTGGAAAATCCTACCAGTTACATGCCAACTTTCCTATCTACCCTTCTGTTCTGGATTTAGCGGTATTGCCAAATTTCAGTTCTGTCCATGTTCCTACCGCTATTTACATGTCTAGTATTGTCTACCCTTTCCCTAGACAAATGCAGCAAATGGGCTTAGGACATATTTCAGGTAGGTATATAGTAATTCACGGCCGAGTAATAGCACTTGGCCACGTAATCTCAGCAAAGCAAATTAGAAAACAATGACACAGAGTTTGCAGATTGACTCTGCAGGGCATGGCATCAGCATCCAGGGGTGCTTCGCCACTGAGCTTATTGGTATATCCCAGGCCTAGATCTGCATATATAGATTTGTTGGTTAATTTCGAGTATGTCCTTCAAGGCCACCACTTTCCTGCAGAGTCTCATGCCATACCCACACACAATGCAATGATTTAGTAAGAAGCAGGTAGAGTCCAAGAACTCGCAAAATCTGCGAACAAGGAGGAAGAGGCGTGAAGGGGGTGGAGAGAGAGAGAGAAAGAAAGAGAGAGAGAGAGATGTGAAGTGTCCAATGAATGTCATTGCTTTTCATTTTGTCTTGGACCCTTGGTGATAATAATTGTTGGGTGGTCTCTGTGGAACCCTGGCTGAAATCACTCTTCATTTTCCCTGCCCTGCCCATGATTGCCTTGGCGTGTTGGATTATTTACCCAGAGCTTGCCAGCAGAACTTGCTCAGAAGTTGAAAGCCGAAACGATAACACAAGTGGTGGTACCCAAACACTCAGTCAGAATCAGGATATGGATGTGGAGCATATGAGGACAGGGCAGGGAGTCAATGGCAGTCAGATGTGTGATGAGGCCAAGCTGCTGGAGCGAGCTCTGACTAACGATCCAGCCTGTTCACAGTCTGCCGAAGAAAGACTCTCACAGGGCAGAAGCCGCAGTCTGTGCCTGCAGACGGAATCCTTACGGGGTCGCTCTGCAAGCCAAGATTATGAAGGTTTGGCATCAGTACCGAGCCAACAGATGAAGGAGCCGTGGAGTCCAGAGTTTGGACCCATGGATTTGTCATTATCGCAGCTTTCGGAAGACTGCCATGTGGTGCTTACTCTGCTGCCGCAGTCTCAAGAGTACTCGCATGATCAAATCCAGCCTACGGCACAGAGGGATGAACAAGGAGCTGGTCCTCCAACTGCTGCAAGGCCAAAGACTTATCAGAGGAGGAAGGCAAAAAAACCTGCAGAGAACGGTAGTTGCTTGTCGGACTCGGTGACAAATGGTGTCGCAAGCGGCTGTCAGATGTCCCAGGAACTTGGCGATTCTGGTGCGCTGTTAGCAGAGCAGGTCATTGAAGAACTGTGTGCTGGTGAGATGCCGACAACGTCTTCTTTATCGGTTTTGTCCCAAGGTTATGGAGGAGCAGGGGAGACGCAGGAGATGCAGGAGACACTTTCTCAATGTGATAATGTGGGAGACAGTGCTTGGTATCAGGCAAGCCTGCCGGGCGTGAGTTCTGCTACAGTGCAGAATGAACAGACTGCGAAATCAAATGTGAAAGGTCACGAGGCCCATGCAATCATTACCAGACAGAAAAGTGCGGAGTGCCTTCTTCAAACTGATGCAATGGCAGAAGAAAGGAAAACTGGAACCCAAGACGCTTTACTGCCTGCCCAGACTCTGGATCGCCCTGAAGGAGAAGCAGGTTTACGGGTGGAGAAGCACTCTCTCCTCGATGATGAAGGCAGCCGTCTTGTGGCTGATTGCCTCGTTTCGGCCATGAAGGTTTGTGACCCTCGCTAAAGATCATATCGAAATGCTAGCTGTTCTAAGGTTACAGGGAGTAAGTAGTGTTCACTGTTGGGAAAAAGAAAAGGAAGAAGAGAAAAAAGGCACCCTGTCAAAATCGGCTAAAGCTTGCAAAGCAGACCCCTTCCCAGAGACCTTTGGCTGATTGATCAGCCTTAACAT